TGTTGGGGTCGGATTCCACCCCCTAAGATCAAGACTGGAAAATGGTTAAGTCTAGAGACTGGGTCGGTAATGATCGGACAAACCCAGTTGTCCGATGTCCGACGAGGTGACATGTCCAGCAAGACGGATTACGCAACCATGCACAAATGGTGGGCGTGGTGAGACCGGAAACGCTGCCAGGCGGGAAAAACAAGTATGAAACAGAGAAATAGGCTGACATAACCAAGAAGCCCACAAGGAAGGCCCGCTAACGAGGTGAAGCCCATTACACGGCAAGATGGGCCAAGCAGGTCGGCAAAGCCCACTTGGTGTAGCCAACTTTAGGGTTGACCTAGCCGACCCAGTACTATATATATCAATGTATTTCCTTTGAAAAAGGAATCTGCAATTCTTTACACCGAAACTCTTGTATTCTTAAACTTTGACAGAAACAACAATAAGAATTCTCCTCAATCCTTTGTGTATGATTTCGTACTCGAAAGACTCATTCCTTTTGAAACTCTTGACAAATATTGACTGTGCAGGTTCTACCATCCACAGTTTGCAGAAAAATATGCAAAAGACCAAACCTGCGAGCCAACCCAGCACAGCTCAAACGCAGGGTCAAGTCGGTAACAAGAGAAGCTTTAAATGAGCTCATAACTATCAGATAGGGTTGTCTGGATACGGTCGAGGAAGGAGTAACACCTGGGTGAGAGGTCAAAATTCTAGCTTCGTGCAGCACAAGGGAGGCTTTAAAGGAGCTCATAACTATCAGATAGGGTTGTCTGGATACGGTCGAGGAAGGAGCAACACCTGGGTGAGAGGTCAAAATTCCTCCGACGAGACAGCATTCTGCGAGTTCCACAATTTTGCTGGACACTCCACTGCGAAATGTCGAGTTCTGGGTCTAAGACTTGAAGCGAAGCTTGCAGAAGGGAAGCTTGGCAACAATATTAGCGTAAAAGACTTCGAGGTGGATAATCCTAACCAGACGAATGGTGATAACCCCAAGCGAGGAAGGGGAGACGACGAGCAGCACCGCACGAACCAAGACAGCGGATCAACATGATAATGGGCGGATCTCATTACTATTCAT